CATATAATGAATTTTGAACACACTTTAAGGTCAATACGACGACTGAGTTCTCAAACGACAGAATCGTAATGACATTTTCAAAGTATTTGCTCTCAAACCCGTCGGATATCGAGTTGGAGTCAGAGATGCAAAACAAATTGTGTTCACTGCTCTTCGACTGCGCCTCCAATGAAAGGTTGGAGTTCTTGTCGCCTCTGATACGGCTGACCAAAGTGACCAAACAGAGCAATAGTCTCAGTCTCTGGCAAATCAAGTTTGTCAACACTTGCACTCAACGGTGTCTTTCATTGAGATCTGATTTTATTGATTCCATTCGATCTCTAATTGATAAACGGCTTAAATGTATATTAAAACCCATTTTTAAAGTACCGTAAATACAAAACCAACTGAATTGTGTTTGCATTGACTTTTCAGATTCAATCGATAAGAATCTGCTCCTGAATTACTTGAGAGGAACGCTAAGACTAACGCAAATAACTCCGACACTAATCGAGGCCATTGTCTTCTATGATATGCCGCCTTTCGGATCGTTTGCTTCAATATCTGGTAATTATATGCGAATAATATTATTAATTACTTATTACTGTAATTATGTATTCATAAAATATTTATTTAAAATGAATTCTTAAAATTAAAAAAAACTTAATTTTGTTTTTGTAGATAAACTCTCGTTTTCGGAACTGGTTATTGAGCTGAAGAGCAAGTATTGTGTGCCCATCCCTACCATTCATTTGCTCCATCGGCTCTATTTCTCTTCAATTCTCAAACTATAGAAAACAAACTTTTATTTTATAATGAAAATAATGATAAATTGTAAATTTAAATATAAAATTAATATTTTATTTATTGTGTATTGTATATTGTGTATTAATATGCGATAAATTAAATGCAACAAATGGTGAGTACAGTTGTGTAGTTATAGTGTAATTAGTGTTGAATACAAGTGTTTAGAGCAGATAGAAAGGTGCGATGGGATGATATTGGGAGCAGTTTGCATGTGCTGTGCACTGGTATGCAATGGTTACGCAATTTGAATGCATTTTCATACAGACATCACACGGAATGTGATCGACAGATGACAGTCAAAGATGGGAATCGATAGTTATATTGTAAAACAATGCTTTTCAATGGGAATGCAATCTACAGTAGTGTATGGATAGGACAGGCAGGCAGTGGTGGCACTTGTATTGTATGGTATGGTGTGAAGAGAGTGAGAGAGAGAGAGGATGATCGCCATTATTGGCAGTATTGGCGAACAGGTTGTGCCACAACCAGACAACACATACCCACACATACAGTGAATGCATCGCTAAAAAAGCACTGCTCTTCACGTCTTCTACACTCGCGATACGATACATGTCTACACTGTTTGTTGGTATCGCTGTTACTGAGAGAGACTGTAAACTCTGCACTCAAACAACAATAAAACTGTTTTTCTCTCTCTCAACACACAATATATTTTGCTATTCATTGCAATTCATGTCAATAATAATTGGCACCAAATTTCTACCGTAATTATTAGTTTTAATCAACGATTTTATACCATATTTTCATTTAATTATCGCTTTCATAATCATTGTTTGAAATTATTATACAGTAAACACTTTTTTTATCGCAATTTCCACTCATTTCTCGTCTCATTTAATTGAAGACTAAAATCACCTCAAATTGTGTACAATATCTCAATAATAAGTAATTGTAATAATAATAGACAACATTCACGGCATATATAACTAGTGGTAAGTAATTGACAACATTTTTCAATCAATTACTATTGTATTTAACGTTATTATTATTAATACATGTTTTGCTCAATAAATTCAAAACCGTTTTGTTATATAATGTGTTGAAAAACAAATCAATTGAAAAGTTTGGCTCCGATTTACACACAAAACAATAATCAATTGATTTGTGAGTTTTGTTTTGTCTCTCAATAACAACGAGTTTTTGTTGTTGTCTTGTTTTGAATGGCTTTTCATTCAAAATCGGTGTATATATTGAATGCAAATGTGTTTTCATTATTCATATCATATTTTTTCTCAATAGTTATTTGTGTTGTGTTTTGTTGTTTTGCACTTTTTCTCGCCATTCATTCAATGCATACAAACCTTTAATTTGATTGTTTAATCACTACTTTTTTTTATTGCCATTTGATTATGAATTGAGATTAGTTTTTAATGAAAACATATCTCATATACAGTACATGTTATATACGATTATGTGTTGAGAAATATGTGCCGCAAATACAACACAATTATTTTGTCCGCTATTTATTCAATGGGTTTTTCTCACAATTATTGTTATTATTTAATATTAATGTTAATTACCTATTGATGTAAACATTACTATAATTTATTGTATTATTGATTGATTGAAACAAATATACAGACAATTGGTTCAATAGTGGCCAACAAATAGCCGGCATTTAAATGACCCCACATTTCACAGTCCATTACATCGTCTTTCATAACATGTATAATAATGTAAAATATAAATCACTTTTTAAGACAACTCTTGGTTTGAAATACATATTAAATTAAAATGCATGAAAATATTGTCGAAATTTAATTTATATTTCACACATTGAGTGACAAGTTTTGCCTCAAAATTAAATAAAACATTTTTATTACACAATTTTGTTAACCATTGAATGGGTTTCGCTATACTGTAATTGAAACGAGAAATTTTCAATTTTATATTATAATTACTGAAATAGACCTCAAATTAGACACAATTTAAATGTTTGGCTAAAAAATCGATAAAAGAGTGGAAAAAGTAATGTTTCGTTTAATTAATTAAATATTTATGTAATCCTTGACCCGAAAAACGCTTGAATTGAATGCAATTTTTTACAGTAATTAGATTCAGACAAAACTATATTAATATATATTTTTGCAATTAATGTATAAATATATATATGTTTTGCTACTCATATATCATTGTCTTCTAATTTTGTGTAATTTTATTTCTATTAAATAATTGCAAAATTCAATGACATATTGTTTTCAAATTAACACTATTTTGCCA